TTGATTCGGTAACGGCTTCTTCAGAGTAGACGGGAATTCCTCAGTGGTTAGAAATTTATTATTGTGGGACGATCCTTATCCTTGGCCCTGTTGATTAAGCTCTTTTTTGTCCACCTATCGTTTATTTCTATTTTGTACTGGCTGCTATTATTTGAGCTATTTATTTTAGTCACTTCTTTTGGTCGTTGAGTCATACATATCACTGCTCACTGCTGGGAAGGACTCAGGATTGACCATCAATTTTTATGACATTTAAATTTCGAAGGTCATATTGGAAATATCAAATTTATTTTGAATCGTAATAATGTAAGCGAAATTATTCAGACTACGGCATTAAACTTAAAATTTAAGATGGTAAAACTTTTACAATTCTCACATTTCGGACTTTAAACTCGGAATCCAGAGTTTATGTCTTGGGTATCGTAAAACGCGTGACCGTATAAGAATTAGAAGTTGGAACCCCAACTATACGGCGAACAAGTCCAACAAAACTTGACCATTTCTTTTATGCATCCATTATTGTTATTATTGTTGTTGTTAGTGTATATATAAATGGAGAATGAAAAGGGATGTGAAGATAACCCATTAAGTTAACTTTTAACGAAATGTAGATGAGTAATATGGGTTCCCATATAAAGCCCGTCAGACAAGGGTGTCGCGATTCCCTGCTGTGACTTGATAGCCTCATCTAGGTCTAGACTATACCCGGTTGTTGAATTAATATGTAATTAGTCCTCGGTGGTTGGTTGTTCACGGGTACAAAAAATTACCGCAATAATTTTCGGTGAAATTGATTTGAGCTGTAATAAATTGTGGAACATTTCAATGGTATTATAATGGTAACTTGTAATAAGCGATAGCTTCTTCAGTTTAATGATACTGTTTTGCAATTTAGCGCAGTTTTGACTTCAATCAAGAATTTTATTGGTCAATTAAAATAATTTAGGAAAAATTTTACTGGAAATAACTAAAGAAATTTATTGTTCCGAGCATTCATTACGAAAAAAAAAAAATTTATTTCAAGAAGCTAATTGATCGTAATAGTAATTCTTACAGTATTCGTAATGTTGTTTTATATTTTCTTTATTTTAGTCGAATAAATTTCATCAATAATAAATAGTTTTGCAAAAGTCGATGGGTGGAGAGGTATAGTCTAAAGTTTTCACTTGCAAAGTGGTAGATCATGCAATTAAATTAAGTGCAATTCAAAAATTATATTTGATAATTCAAACACTTCTTTAAACACTAAACTCGTTGATTTGATGCTAAAGATTTATAGCTATTATTGTTAGTTGCTATAAGTTCTTTGAAAAAAATGAGAAATGTTCTAATAAAAAATTAATTTTTTGAAATTTTAAAACAATTTTATTTCTCAGCTGAAGAAATCAAATTTTTTTTACAGTAACTTTCTAATTGAAGAAAAGTTTATTTGATTTGGGAAAAAACAATTTTTAATAAAAGTAAAATAAACCTTTTTTACACGCTTTTTATATTAGTTTCACTTGTATGTTTGTATGTTTGTATGTTTGTAACCGACTTCTTTGGGCGCGATTTTGACCCACTTTAAACGGCCAGATTTTGTTCAAACTTTGTAGATTTATCGAGGACCGATGACAATACACTAATTTGATCAAATTATTCCATTTTTCAATTTGCAAAATATGATTTTTGTTAATTTATATAATTTTCATCTATAGTCGATAAGGTAAGAAACTTAATTTTAATTTTTTATAATTTTTTTCTACAGTCGATAACATAGGACTTGATGTCAAAAATTTCAATAAATATAAATTAATAATAGTGTAAATAAAAAGAAATGTATTTTATTTAAAAAAAAACGTGGGGTGCTTTTTAAGATATTATCAAAATGATAATCACTCTATTTATATCTGTCAATAAAATATTGCACGACTCATGATGCGAAGCATCAGAGAGTGCTTTACGATCGAAAAATTTTTTTCGCCTCATTTTGGCAGCTATTTTTATTATTATAGCCTTGTTAGTTCACGGAATCAAGATATTTTGCATACTATTGTCGAAATAATTTAATGGAGATTAATTCCATACTTTATAAAAATTGATTTACTGTAATAGAATCGGAAAAAAACACCAAAATAGGTCAAAAAATTTTCCTGTCCGTCATGTGTGAAACCCGGAAACACTGTAACTTGTGAAAAAATCCATTATTTGAGTTGAATTTTTTTAAAAAAAAAATTCTAATCGACGATTGTAGGTCACTGAATGCGAATGATTAATTAATTCAATGTCGCTTAATTACAATTAATAAAAAACGAAAACTACAAGACTGTATATCTATATATATCCATGTAAGATTAACATGGATGGTGAAATATCTATAGATATTATGTACATTTATTCCACCAGAGGCGCTTGTGCAGTACCTTCCTAGTACAGCTGTTTTTTCGGCAACTAATTTTGAACGACTTATGTTATTATTAAATGCATATAAATGGATCAATTATATAATTAATTTTTTTTTTATTTTATAATTAAATGAGCATTATGAGTCGTGCACTTTTGGATTTTCCAAACTTTTTATAACTATTGACACCATGCACCCCACGCTTTTTTTTAAAATAAAATACATTTTTTTTTATTTACACTATTATTAATTTATATTTATTGAAATTTTTAACACTATTATTCTTAATTTAAATTTGTTTTCTATAAAAAGCGTGTTTTTAGTTTTTTAAACTATTATTTATTTAAAAAGAAAGTTACTGTGAGAAAAATTTTTATTTCCTCAGCTAAGGAATAAAATTTTTGAAAATTTTCAGCAAATTAATTTTTTATTAGAACATTTCTCATTTTATTAAAAAGAAATTTTTTTCTCTCAATGTATTATGTAACTTAAAAACAATTCTCGAGGTTAGTTGATTAAAGTGTTAGAATTTTTATGAATTAACATATAATTTTCAAGCAATTTAATAATTTGTTGCTGAAGCAATTTCAAGAAGTAGTAGAAAAAATAATAATATTTTTAATAATATATGTATTGTATGGTAAATAAATATTAACTTACCTTGAATTTAAACTCATTGAATCTTAGCAATTATGATTATTAAATACAAATTTTTATATTCTGAAATCAAGCGAATAATTTAACTATAAAGAAAATTCTTCCTCGCCATTAAATGAAGTGAAAGACTTTAAAGTAATTTTTCATGAAATGACAGAAAATTTTGATTGTAGATACATAAAAACGTATCTATTACTCTAAAGGAAGATTCTCGATCTGTTTGGCAAATGACTGAATTGGATCGATTGTTAATCGGCAGACAACACTATGCGGACAGGACGGGGATAAGTTATGGCTGGAGGAATAATTACACGCCGGTCCCTCTCGCGTTGTGGTCGAGTAGCATCTCAAAGCATCAGGCAAAAGACAATTTTACGCAGCGGGACGTCCGTGGAGTTATATATACTAACAGCGAATTATTATTTTTTTGGTCCGCTGGTATGGGATTTTAAAATATTAACAACGGGTTACGGTGGCTCGAGGCACTTTTTTAAAATTGACAGACACCGCATCCGTCAACTGCTTTAACGAAATATATTTCTATTGTCAGTTTTGCAATAAATTTTGTCTTACGTTTTGATAAATGCAGCCGAGATTTATCGAATTCTTTCTATAGGAATTAAATTGTTTATTTTTTTCAAAATCGTTCAAATAAAGCCTTAAACAAATTGTGTAAAATGAAAAAGATAACATACGAAAAAATTTCAGAATAGATATTTTAATTCAGAGTCAAAAGGGAAAATTTCATTTTTTCCATATGACACACACAACAACAGGCTAAATAAATATTCGTACACTAAAAATATACTAATTAATAATAGAAAACTGTAACAAAAATTACGTTCGCACTGACAGTGGAGCGGTCAGTGGACACGTAATATTGTCCAGGTCGCCCAATAAAAAAAATGACTTGGGAGGGAACTCTTCGCCTCCCAAGCAACCAGCAGCTCTTCCTCAGGCTGGGTTAGTGCACGGTTCTTTTTGGACGCCAGTTGTTCTTTCGCTTGGGAAACAACAAACCCTTTATTTCCAGGGCCGATCCGCAGGTATTCAAGGGATAGATAACTAGTATACGAATATCAGGAAAGAAAGGAGAAAGCAACTTACGTAAAATTAAAATATTAATAAATCAAATTCTTAATGATCAGTCGCAATATTAATAAAAAATAAGCTATTTATTCAAAACACAAAATACTTAAAACTAAGTCCAGAGCCGAATTCCTTTGCCGGTTGGACTAATAATAACAATAATAAATTTGCCGCGTACAATTATTAACAATTAATATAAATCCTGAGTATATTATTTAATTACGACGACGCTGGTTGTAAATTAGAAATTGTATCTAAAACCATTGAAATGAGATATACCCGAAATCCCCAGTCGGGTTATCTCGACAAAATAAAATAAATAAATAATACTGACTCGATTAATTAGTACCGACTTTTCATGCTAATTTGTTTGCCGGGAGACAACACGGTGCGTGGTCAATAAAATGGCTCAACTTGTGAGTACTCACCAAAAAAAGGGAACTCGAACAAAGGTGCCAGATCCACACTCTTACACTTTGCGGGTTGCCGCGTGTCTCCCGATTTTTATTTTCTCAAAAACTCCGAGACCTCGTGTTCGATCACGAGGGCCTCTCACGACGTTTTCCAAAATTACTGGTCCCTGTGCTCACAATCGATATTCTAGGGAATTACCCGCGCGAGCAAGGGCTACGACTCATTACCAATAATTAATATACAATGAATAATAAGATTATAAATATTAAAATACAAAATTCCTGAAATAAATGCCAAATGATATATAATAAATAAATTAATATAACAACAGTTAAATTTTAGAGACACTGAGAGTGGATCTGTTGCCAACTCTAGGCGCAGAGAGGGTCGCATACACGAATAAAATTCGTGTGACAACTTATTATATTGATGATCAAGAAGATACAAAAAGCCTGTCTCAACATGATGCAAAACTTGCTCTATCGATTTTATCCTTGATACTCCAATTTTTTCTCGACCAATGTATATAATACTTTTTGAAAATCACGTCTTTTGATACATGCAATTGTTTGGATCTCGAGGAATAGTGCAACTGATCAATCCTAGACTCAATACAAGCAATCGAAGCATTAAATTGTGCCTCGACTGCGCATTTGACTAGTTCGGAAAAATTTGATTTTTTTAAATATTGTTTGTCTTCATCAATAACCCACAGCTTTTCGTTTACCATATCGTTGTGTAACGTTCCATCATAGAAAACGTAGTACCTGTTATCGTAAAGGTCTTTCAAGGATTCGACGTTGCGCATCAACGGTTTTGACAGTATCGCAGACACTTGGCCCTGGAAATCAGGCATCACCGTAAAGATGAACACGAACCCGAAGAGGTAGATTATCCGCATTGACAACCGATCCAGCGGTATGAGAACTCCCATGCCCGCCGTCAAGTTCATAACGTACATAATACTACCACTAATATCAAATTTGTTGTTAATCATCACTATGATTGCTATCAATATCAAGACAAAGACGGTCAAAAACAGAAATTGATAATTGCAAGTAACTTGACTGACCGCCTCTAAATAGTTTGACTTTTTTGTGAGAATCGAAAATTCAACTTCATTATATGCTGTTATTATATCCATGTATTTATAGTTGGTATCTGCTAACTGGCGTGTTTTGCCCATAACATCACCCGTTTTGTCAACTAATTGGTTTAAGTATCCGTTTAAGAAAGATCTGGATTTAATAGATCTAGGAAAAAAATGCGATCTACGTTCGGCGTTAACATGGGCTAATAGAGTCTCTATAGAATGAATTTTTCTACCGGTCCTTGACTTTAGATATACTTAGATAATTCGATATTGATTTTATCGGGAGGAACATTCTTGAAATCAAAAAAAAATGCTACATTAATTTCATGTCCGTTCAATTCTTGAGCCTTGTCGAAAGTTATACTTTCACATATTCTTTTATTTGAAAATAATTCATTTGTTTTAGACCAATAGCCAAAAAAGAAATGACATTAATGAATGTATTTTCAAAGCATCACCTACCTTTTTAATACTTTAAAGCGAATAGTGCCGTTTTTGTATTATTCCCGCTAAGTTTGTCCAGATTGACCCACGGCGCTGGAGCGTAACTTTTAAAAGGATTCAAGGTAAAAACATTCGTCGAATCTTCATCACTACATATGTAGTAAGCAGCCAACAAATCCTGCTGCCACATAAATTCTAGTACTTTTCTAGCGTTTGCGCGCTGAGATTTAGATTTGACAATCAAAAACGGCGATTTAATGCTCCATATTGTCGATTGTTGTAAATGTTCCAGGGTCATCTTCAGATTTTTCATCGTATCGAATGAGAGTACGTACGTTGGGTATGCAGACATGAAACCAGTGATCTGCTTCTTGAATTTACGATCAATGATAATCATGGAGTTTCCACCTGGATCCCAATCGTTGCCCAGTAAATCCTCGGAGATCACCACCGAACTTGAATTATTCGTAAAACACATTTGCGCTAGTTCTTTCTGTAATTAACGAAGGAATAGTTGATCAAAACTGTTAATCGTTATAGAAATTAAATAACACTGCATGACGATGGAGTTGCGAAGATCCTTTTGCGGGTTCAGAAATTTTGATACTGTAACACGTCACATAATGAATTATCAAAAAATAAAAACAATATAGACCTCTTCATCCACATAATCAAACTGTTTCAATTTTCAATGACTATACTGATTGATATCTAGAATTTTGAAGCACGTCCTTATCCTCGGAAATGCAAAATACGACTGAATTGTCTGCATTTGTAGCAACAAAGTCTTATCGCTATAACAAAATTGATCATTAACCAGAATTTATAATACAAACTCATTAGCTACGAAATAGGTCGCTTTAATATGGAGCATAATTATTTTTTATAGGCGTCTAACTATGCGTAATTATCAGCTCACCGTGACAGATAGTAATCAATACATAAACAGACATACAATCTAGTGATCACATGAACCAATTTCTAAAATACTTGCTATTATAAAACACTAAACTGAAGCTGTTTTATGTTCTGACATATGTGTTTTATGTTCTGACATATACGCCAGTTGTGATCGTTATTTCCACATAATCTCTTTTAACATGTCAATATATTAGTGACGATAATCCACTAAACAGAAATTTTAAATGATGATATAATAATCTTATAGAAAATTTTTAATAATTTAAAAAGTAATAATTTGAAATTCAAAATTTTATTGTTCACTTTTTGGGAAAGTTTCTCGTTTCAACAGAATTCCATCTCGAAATTTTTATTCCCACCTGCTTGCTATACCTTTGAACTATTATCATTTACCTCATTCATCACGCCTAATTTGTCGATAAATTACAAAATTAGCTGTATCGACTAGCTACTTTCGAAATGACTCAACCAAATTTATTAATGCAATACTTCGATGAGGTACTTCAACAGAACTTAATTTTTATTATTAAGAGCGTAGTCGAGTGATACAATTCACTAACAAAGTCATTGTCAAGGGGCAGGCCATCCCTAGAACTTCCCGCTTCTTTCGAGCTTGAAACGCTCGAAAGTCTTCTAATTGGTTGACTTTTTTTGTTTTTACAGCTAAAAAATTCAAAATTTTTTAATAGTTATAACTTTCGAACGCGTTTTTTAATTTTGACTTTTTTGGCAGTATTGAACGGAGTTTCAAGAACAAAAGTATCTTTGATGTCTAGAGTTAATTAGTCAAATATTTTGAAAGTTATTTAGAAAAAATAAAACTTTTTTTTTGTTTTTATTTTTTCAATTGCTTCGAAATAGCACGACCAATTGACTTAAAAATCCAATCAGATCAGTCTTAATAAACACTTTCGAGCACCGTGTCACTCACTCTATTGGTTGATTCAGACTAAAGATATCGTACGACAAAATTTTATCTACATTCATATACACGATCGGGCGTCTAACGAAGAATAGTTGGAACGGCTTCCTAGAACCTCAAAACGTGAAAATTTAAAGAAAACTCGCATTTCCAAAATCAGATTGAAGTCAATAACTTCCAACTTATCAAAATTTTTTTTTCAAAGTGGGAAGTTAAAAACAAGTATTAAAAAATTTTTAAGAATGGGTATTTTGACTGTGGTTTAAATCTCGTAATACCCCTCGAATTAATCAGTTTCCAAAAAATTCGAAACTTGTCTCAAAATCAACCTTGCTACCCCGGAACAAAAGCCCAGTTATCTCCTGTCAATACTTCTAAATTAAATTACCAGCTTAGCCTTAACTAGTTATCCCGATCCTCATTATACCTTAACCCAAAAAATTAATAGAGACGCAATGACTTGTACGTCCGCTGATTAAATGGTAATTAAACCCCAGCTACTTAAACAAAAAAACTGACAGCTGGTCTAAAAAATAGCTTACTCGCTCTCCTAAATTGATGATGATCATCATCCTCAATTTCAACTCCTCTGGTCAATCGCGTCCATTGTCCCAAAGTATTAAAGACAAAGCCGCCATGAATTTGAGCATCACCGGTCGAATGACACTGAAGAGGGTGAAAAATAACAGACCATTAACTATCACCAACAAAATGCCTTCAATGTTGCTTATTAACTCGCTTTTATTCTAAAAATTTTCTTACATTAGTTGATCTTTTCAACAAAAGTCTCTCTCTTCATCATGATTCCATCCTCGATCCCGATTCTGACAATGGAAGCTAAAAGAAAGAAAGATGGACCACGCCTTACTTTGCTTCAATAGAGCTACAAGCTACAAAGTAGCAACAATAGGCATAACGCATTTAATATTCTTCGTAGACAATAGACAATAGCAACAGAAGGTCCATCAGGAGCCTGAGCCCTGGTCATCGCTGGTGATGATGATGATGACCAATTCATACCATGGTAAGATCACTCACAATTTAACATCCAGATTTTGGAGGCTGAAGTTATGATTCACTGGATTATTCATTTGTATTTAACCGGCAGCTACCTGGCGGAATTGGACCCGGGATCAGTGCCACCAATTTAAGGATTCTCGAGCCCAGGGCCCCTTTTCAGTTTTTTTTATTTCTTTTACAACAACACATGATCTCAAGAAACTGCTTCCAGAACTTAACCGACAATTAATAATTTCTGGGCCAGACGGGCAGCGGTAGCTTACTCTGCTTTTGGTAGAGACTTTAAACCTTTTTCTTAAAACTCGATCTCATGGCAGTCTACAGTCGACCGTAGAACACCCGCTGATCAACGAACGATTTTTCAACGGGGGCGGAGTTGCTGTACCGCAGTCAGAATTACGTCCAAGAATCACATCAACGGTCTATTTCAACGAGGTATTGCAGGTAATTAGTGGTTTTTTTGGGTATGGACGCAGATTTTATAAAATATGTTATTTTATAATATTTTAGGATGCCTTTGATGGATCAATTTATGGTTCATTCCATCAGAAGATTTTGGTGAAGCCAAGACGAGTAGTTGGGTTATTATAATAATGTTTTTAGGACGGTCACTGATTCTAAAGATATCGGTGACATGTTGGGGATAATGTGTCATTTTTCATTCAATGATACTTGTAAGGATAGTGAAAGAAGGACTTAAGGTGAATGGACTGATTTTAGTAGTGATCGACGATTAGTTTTTAGGTATTGTCGAGATTTAATTGAAAAAATCTGAAAATTGGTTTTACTTACATAATATGACTTTAGTAGATTTTGAGCTCTACCTACTCAAAATTTTTAATGTTTATTACGGTGATAGAAGAATTTATTAATTTTTTTATTAGGATACAATTTATCTATTCAACAAATATAACTGATTATTTTTTATTAAATATTTTTTTGGAAAGAAAATTCTAATATTAACAATTAATAAATACTAATAAAACATTAACAAATATTGATTAACTTTGAATAAAAATTTTTTAAATTATTTCATGTTGAAAAATCATTTATTAACAGTTAATCAGACTCATCAAATATTAACAAATTCTTCTATTAGTGTAATACTTTTTTGAATATTGCACGCCTCATAAGCGAAGCGGATGAAGTAGTGCTTTACTCTCGCCTTACAAAAATCAAGTAATTTTTTGGACTAAAATTGTCTCTATTTTCTATCGCACTTGTAAAATAACATTTACACATAAATATCATAAAAAACACTAGTTTCAACACTTATGACATTTTGCTTTAAAAATAAATAAAATAAATGTTTAAAAAATTATTCCGTGGACGTCCGTGTGTCTGATGTATATGGAAAAAAACTGGCCTGGTCACGATAACTGCCGAAAAACTTAACTGATCAAGTCCATTTTTTTTATACGCTTCAGTATTATTCAAAACTAAGTCCTTTCGAAGATCACGGTCTAATTCAATGTAGTTTAATTATAATTAGCAATAAATTCAAATCGACTTATCGTTTGTAAATCTATATCTATGTAAATAAGGTTCGTTTACAACACATGCGCAATACCTTTCTTTTCTGGATGTACAATGGCGCGAAAGATTTAAAAGTATTTATATTTTATTTTAATCAATTTTATTAGGGAAAATGAGATTATGAGGTGTGCACTTTTGGATTTTCCAAACTTTTTTTAAACTGCGATATTCTTCGAACGAGACGTTTAATTGTAATCTATTACTTTGTACAAGGTTTGTAGGTTTTTGAGTACAATAATTTATTATTTTGATAATTGGATGGAATTAAGCAATAACGTCTTAACCAACATTTTAAAAAAAATCGTGTTATTATGATGAACTAAGTAATCTTATGATACTAAGTACGTTCATCATAATAACTCGATTTTTTAAAAAATGTTGGTTAAAACATTATTGCTTAATTCCATCCAATTAATTGATCAGTAATAAAATTTGAAAATTATTTAAAAAAAATTCTTTCAAGATTTTTAAATTGCAATATTTTTTTAATAATTGCTGGATTTTCATCAAATTTTTAGCATTCAACGCATTTTTTTCAGAAAAAATTTTTACAGTAAAAAATTTATAATTGAAAAACTTGGAAGTTATTTTTAAATAAAACTTAAACATTTTCACATAAGGTAAAACATTTAGACATTTTCATATAAGGTAAAAGACCCAGTTATTGACACTTGCAATTTTATTTTAATTATTAAAAAAAAAAAAAAAAAAAAACAAATAAAATTTGGTAAATTAAGAAATACAATTCTTGAATTATAAATTTTAAGAAAATCAGTTTTTTGAGAATATTTAATTTTTTTAATTAGAATAAAATTGCAAGTGTCAAACAACTAACTCAGTGTCAATAACTGGGTCTCTTACCTTACCGATATCTCTTGAACAAATCATTTAATTTCACTCGAGTTTATGGAATTCGATGCAATTAAATTTATTTCTAAATTCTTTTTATGAAGTCAATAAGTAAACTCTCTTTCACATCAATTTTAAATTTCCAAAATCATTATTAATAGAGTTAGTTTTTTTATTTTTTAAAAAATAACAAATTTATTCAGGCTTATTTTTTTAAAATTACTCCTGTGAAATTTTTGAAAAACTAAGATCTTCATTATAAAAATTCCATTACAGACTATAACTCACAGACAGTGACAATAAATCACCAAAAATAAACCAAAAAAACTAGCATATAATACTGAAACCCAAACCAAAAGTAATAAGTCACAGGCTGTAAATTTAAAAACTGAAATAAGCGATTAGTAAAAAAATAATAAACAAACGGCTATGTAAATCAGCTTAAGCAGTAATTGGCAGCAAAAAAGCTAATTACCAAAACCCGATCTAACCTGCTCGATGGAATGAGCCCATCAACGCACAGCATGACGTCGCGACACCCAATTCCCTAGGTAACCGCTAGATTACCCGAATAATCTACAAACAAAAAACATCTTCGATAACTGGTTTACTCGCATTTTATACTC